TGACCTACCAAGCATTGAATCATACTTAAGTTTCAACTAAGATTTTTTCTTTCAAATATTCCAAGCAATCTCACAATACCAAAGAATGTTACTTATTTCCAGACATTTATAAATCTAATAACACCCAATAAGTTAAGCTAATTAATGTTTTAGCTAAACCAAATTATAAAATAAAAAATGTATAAAATGCATTTTGGCAGATATTTTACATAGTACTTTTCAGTTCCTGATCTATCAAGAGACCTACTCTAATTCCAGATTGATTTAATTTATGATAACACAAAGAATTAGAATTCATAGCACTCTTTCCTGATTTTGCTCATCTTTTATAGTACAGGGTTAAAATTATATTTAAAGAATGTCTATGAAAGGTTATAGATTTGTAACCTTTATAAGAAAAGGTCAGTGGAAAACAAGCCATAAAAGTATTACCTAGATTCTAACTTATCTTTATATTTTTCTTCCATATGTTCATTTTCCTCCCTGTGACACAGAGCCCCCCAAACCCAGGAACACTCAAAGCCCACATTTCATTGGTTCTGAAATTTGTTGCTGCCTCAGAGTTCTAAAACCTCTTTGGAAATAACTGAAAGGAGAGGAAGTAAGGGAGATTGGGAAGGGTCGTGCATGAAGGAGGAAAAGAATTAGTGGTTGGAGGACACACCCAACCAAAACCCTCACAAAACCTTGAGAAACAGGGCAAGATATCCTCTCCAGGCAAGACAGACCCTTATAGAGGAAAGGTTCCAGAGAACTTAAGGCAGCTCTTGGGGGTAAGGGAGCAGGGGTTAAGGCGGCCCTCACAGTACAGCCTGAGAACAAATTACAATGCACTTATCCATGAACAGAGACCATAGAAATACACAGAGCCTCTCTAATAGGCATGCACACAGCACACCTCCTAGCTCCAAAGTAAACAGTAGCATGCACGCACTGTAATGTCCAAACACACACTGACTTGTACATGCCCTGCCCTAGGGGCCAACCCTCCGGTGTACCCAGGGGCCTTGGCTACTCTGTGCTTAGGACCTAAACTGGGGAGGAGGGCCTGGGCCTGTGAGGCCTGGCCTGCTGCTGCAGGTTCTCCACAGGCTGCACAGCTCATCTGGTTGCTCTAACAGCAACTCTGATGGGTGTGTGTTGAGAGTGACCTTTCTCTTCACTTTTGGGAAGTTTTTACAGCTTCCCAAGGTTGAGACAGTCTGCTATTAACTAGTTATTTAAATACAGAGTATTGTATCCTTGAAGGGTGAAGTGATTGTTACAAAAGTCAAACCTAGTAATAGCAGGTAACTATAAAGAAAACTGCCAGCTCTGGGCACTTCCTCTCATTAGCACAAACAACTTGGTACTTAGCTTGCTCAGTACCATATGCTAGTTGCCAGCTGTAAGGAAAAAGAGCACCTCTTGCTGACCCTATGCCACCCATGGGTACCAGGAAGAACAGGATATATCCTCTCAACTTCTTACTTTTTCCTGCCTCCTATCTGCCCACATGGCAACCGTTGCTCCTAGGGAAGCAACTGCAGGCTGAGGGGCTGTATAGCTCAGGCAAGTCACTGACCTTAACCCTCTCTCAAATTATCATCGGCAAAGGATTCTAGTGCTGACTCTTTCTATCATCAGTGCTGCTGTGAGGCTAAAATGAGGTAACACAGAGAAAGCACAATGAAGTAAAACATAGCTAGATTCAAGGTACTGTTTCTGCACTACTTTAAAGAGGAAAATTTGAGGGAAGAGGAAAGAGGATAGAGAAAGAGAAGGGGAGGAAGTGCAGGCTACAAAGAACACTGCATGACAATCTCTTAGGAAGGTGGCAGGTACCTGCCCTTTTACCTAAGGTTACCAGGAAGACAATTCCTCATAGCAACTACTACACTGAAATTCTAATAAATAAAGTATTTTCATAGGCTCTCCCACTGTTATTTAAAGATTTGATCTATATTACATGTAAATACTCACCCAGGAATAGCCAACTCTCAATTATCCACTGAAATAAAGGGAACTGGCTGTGAGGAAGGGAAATTTCCCTCTACCTTTCTGGGTTCTTCTCAGGCTGGTTGAATGATCAAATGATTATCAGACATATTAGTAGTAGAAAAGCAAGTGTATACATATGGGGACTCTACAGACCTATGTGGACTCCAAAGACAATGAGCTGATATGGGGGCACATATCCTGAGCTAAGGAGTGGAGTCTAAGCTTCAAGAAGGAGGGAACTCACAGATGAGAAGAGGCTGATTGATATGCTGAACAGCAGATGCTGTATAGTTAGAAGTTTGCCCTTCCATATACAGAGGTTTTTTTCAGATAGAAAGGTTGGTTTTGGTAATAACCTGAATTCTGGGTAAGACCCAAATTTTCATTCTTTTAGAAGCAGTTAAAAGGGTCACAAAAGTTTCTTATAAGCCCGCAGGGCCTCAACTGACCTCAACTTTAAATAACCCACATGCCAAAGTGGCATGTCTTGGGGAGGCTAATTTTGAACATTGTGGGCAAACCTATCCTTCAAAATAAAGTGAACTTTACAAAGTGACCAAAATCCCCCCAAATCTCCTATCAGTTGACTTTGGAAAATTATTTTTGTACCTGATGAAAGAATTATCAGTTATATGAGGAATTTCTAAAACTTCCAACTTATCTTTCCCCTTCTTTGTAAGTTCCGCTCAGCCTTAACCTAAGGAAAGCTGGAAGAAGAGAAACTGCTTCTATCTTTTCAGCTTATGTTAAAGAATGTATAGCAAAGAAGTGGGATCAAGAGCTTGTGCTGAGATTGGCCTGAGGTTAGGCCAGCAGGCCCAGGAGGAGCAGGGGCCCAGGTGGGACTTGGCCCACTGTCTTACAGCACAGAGGCAGGTGGAGGGAGAGATGACTCAGCTAAGGGGAGGGAAAGAGTACACAAACGAAGGGGCAGAAGGAAAGCTGGTGGAGGTAACTGAAAGTGGCTGAGAAAATGTGAATGGATAAAAGAAGGAGCAGTCCTCAGGGCGGCAAGAGGATACCCATCTTCAGCGGAATATTGTTGCATACACAGAGTCACTCAACACGTCTGGGATTCCCTGGTTGTAAAGTATTCTAGTTATGCCTAAACTTGACTTCACTGCACTAAGTTACTTTACATCCCCATCTGGGATTCTGGGTAGGTTTTAGAAAAAGTTGGGGGCCAGGAATTGCAGAACCTCTGTGTGGCCATCATGGAACAGGAGAGATGGCATGGATGGTGACGGAGCACTGGCATGGCGGGGAACAGAGGCTGGAGCTCTTTACAGTAGAAGCCAGGTGAAGGAGAGCGCTATAGCCCCACCAGAGATGTGTCAGGATCTGAAGTATTTGGGGTAAGATAAAGGATTGTGCTGGCAGTACAACAGGAGCTACAGGATGATCGTAAGGACTGGAGAGATTCAGGATGTGCATGGGACATGCTATACCAGACGGGGCTTGGGGAGGGTCTGAGTGATTTTCCAGGTCTAAGGTGAACAGCCTGAACCATGGTGACCTTTTAAAAATCCTTTCCCCCAGCCAAGTTCCACGTAGGCTCTTAGACTCTGACACATTCAGTACTAACCAAAATGGTTATAGAGTTCATTGAAAACCACACTGACAACAAGGGAAAACTGAATCCAGATTAGTAGTGTTTCTGGTTGATTTTGAAAATAAATGTATCCAAACTGAATATAGCAGTACATGATAAAATAAGTTACCTAAAATACTTAACTTTCTAAAAGTATGTATATTTAAGAAAGGTTATAAGTACACAAATTTGTGATTTTACATTTTACTACTCCCTCAAGATTAATGGGTAGAAAACACTGATCTTTCAATCAGAGGGTGAGCTTACTGAAAAACTGTAGCTTATTTATCTTGGATCCATCTACTGAGAGAAGAGAATTTCAGAGGTGGAAGGGACCATAAGAATCAGTCATTCAACCCTCTTACTGTATAAACGAGGAATTTGAAGCTCAAATAAGTTAGCAGAGTATCTTTTAATAATGATCTTTATCACTGATAAACTGACTTCCATTAATAATATTGCACATATTTTAATAAAATGTCATTTTAATAGACCATCTAACAGTTAAAGTATATAAATCTATGATTGCAATTCAGAACTGGAATTTCTAATGAAGCTAAGAATTTGCTTTTGTACAACCCAAAAGATTTATCGTATAAGATTTTCCAAAAAAATGGAGAATATGTTAAATTAAAATTTTAGAATGAGAACTTATGTATTCTACATCTTAAGGAACCAAATCCTTAGTAAGATTCAGCAATCTTCTATTTCCTATATAATTCTTAAAAGTATTTCTAGTATGTTGCATTTTAAAGCATCTAGTGGTTCTATTTGTAGAAGTTGCAAAGCCAAAAAAAATTCATAATTAGTATTTATTATACACCTTCTTTTGATAACTTATAGGATAATCAAGGTTTCTAGACCTGAATCATGAATATTCTGACAATTCTTTTTAGGTAGTGATTGAGAATTATTCTTAATAAATTAAGATGAGAAAAGAAAACCTGTCAACAATGAAAATATGCACTGTAGGAATCAGATCACATAACCAAAAGTAAGTCACATCACAGAACACTGTATCCCTGATGTGATATCCACTCAGGGAAAATTAATGAACACTTCAATGGAATACATCCTGAATAAATAATGACAGCAACAATAGCCACTTTGTCTAATCTTAGCCTTATAGAACATTCTGTCATACACTACATGACTTCTCAGTATCTGCTACTTGTGCAGGTGAATCTGTAGATATTTGCACATAATCCAGTTAAAACTGTGATGTACTGAATTGTAAACAGAGCTGATAAAGAGAAGCTTATTGTAGTAGAACCTAATAAGAATATCGCTTACATTTTAAAGAACACCGTAAGTAGCAGCAATTTAAAATGAGCAGTAAACTACAGTACAGACTTCTACACTATACAGCATACCAACATTCTCTATCTCTATATCATTGTGACACATGTAAGAAAATTATTTAACCAAATGCTTTATATATTGCCAGTTTATTTCTCTGATCCAGTTTGAAAATATCAGCATAATTGATTCCTAAACTGATGTGATACGTGCTCCATGGTAACTTTCCAACTCTTCAGCTAATGCAATGGAGGTCCTTTGTTGATCCCTGACTAACAAAAGTTCTTATCAGGACTTGATGTTTCCTATACTATTTAAGTATGGTGCTAGGGATTTAAAATAAATGCGGGCAGCTGAAGACACATTTTTTTCCCTCTTCTTTCCTACCACCCTACCATCATTCACCTGCATGTAAACTCAAGACATCTAACTGATCAAGGATGAGTGTACAGGTAACAGAGCACAGAGGAGCCTATCTTTCTTCCCCTGGTGATGAAAGTATTCTGGGGAGATTTCCAGTTAGTAACCTCTTGTTTAGGAGGTAATCAGTACTTTTCCTTTAAAAATGTGTTTTCAGTAGCTCACTGGAAAGAAATGGTCCTTATTTCAGGCAAGAAATGTATTGTCAATGTTTGCCTGGACATCACTTTCAGACCCGTGCTATGAATCCCAGACCCAGGCTGGCTGGAATCTGGATGGTTTCTAGTGCAAGGGAGGATGGGTTAAAAGGGAAGGTGACAGGGAAGATGTGTTTAGCATCCATGAGCAGCTGAGGAGAGTCTTTCCTGTCTCGTAGGCGCATCTGAGATTAAACAAACAAAAACAAAAAACAAAGCATCAGTTCTTTAAATCTTATAAAGATATTTTCCTGCCAAATATTCTACTAAAACATCTTCACCTAATAAAAAATATTTGTCTTTTAAAATCACTTCATTTTTCTAATAAACAGTCATCAAGAAAGTTAATGAACTACAAAGATAAGACAAATATAATATAATTAAAAAACACATTACCCTTCCATAAATCATAAGATTGTGATGGTAAATTAAAAAGAAACCCTGGAAGATTTTTTACCTGTATGGTACGAATAAATGATACAGAGACTCTTTCTTCAAATTCATTAACTGGAGTATACAAATTCAACACCTTGACAATCTGTGAGAAATGAAATGATCAACATTTCAGTATATTATCACATATACATTGGGCACCAATAATCTGGATAATTAAAAGGATCTTTGAATTTTATTCAGGACTTGGATGGGGCAAGTGGGTAGAAGCAGCTGGTCTGAAGGCACAACTACCTTGATTTTGTTATTATTACAGTAAGAAAGTATTAATGCCATATTTGTATATTTTAAGAAAGAATATAAAAATTTGGAAAAAAACAAACAATACAGGAGATACAATATGAACAGCAGTGTATAACAATGGCCGATTTAACAATTTATAAGTAATTTTGTTAAAATGAAAGGGGAAATAATTGAAAAAAAGTGAAAGTACCCTCCCACCCTCCCAAAGTAGCAATGTTTCTTTGTATCCTGAGTATTCATATAGTGACTTTCTATATGTAGTCTATGCATAGCAATATAGGAATTCTATGTTATAAGGTATGTGCTAAATATTAAAAAGTCACTATAGAAATAACTGGGTAAAAGAAAAATGGGCACATTGTTTTTGTCCATAAATGGCCTTCCCATCTTCTCACTTTCTTAAATTCAGTGCCCAACTTAATGGGACCTTGCCCAAACAGTCTGTGATCACCCCTCAGCACTACCTCTGGACCTCTGAGTACAGAACTTGTTAGAACCTCTTTTGGTAGAGTCACCTAGGTTCATCTGTGTTCCCCATACACTTTTAAGTTCTTTATAGGAAGGGGCTGTTTCTTATTTTTGCACCATTTCCATCAACCACTAGCAGTCATTTACCGACTTGAAGAAGTAGGAATTATCTGTCTTAAAATAAGGAAGACTAAAATAAGCAATTATCAAATACTATGGAAGATTATTTCATGGAATATAAGCACCATAGAGTGCACAGAATGTACATTCCATGCAAGGTCAACTATGCTTTTCATGTATCTTAGTGTCTGCAAAATAATGGAGAACACTGTGGATAATGAATATTTATTGAATGCTGAATGTGGATGAATGGAACTAGTACTTAAATTTATTAATTGCTGCTAATTATCTCCTTTTATCAAGATCAATACAGATATGTATCTTCTGTGAACCACATGAAATTAGCCCAGAGATAAAAGAAATAGGTAAGTTAACTTTCCCTCAAAAACTAGTAGTCATTTATTGACTTGAAAGAATAAGAATTATCTGTCTTAAAATAAGGAAGACTAAATAAGCAATTATCAAATAATTTCTTTTAGTATCACCCTTAATGAATGTCAAATTATTTCATTATAGGGAAGTTGCTTTACCTGGGCAGTAGTTAGAGCATTGCACATAGAACAAATAGCTTCTGCATCATCATCTGTTTTCTTTTTCACTTGCAAAAGCTGAGCAGCCTGAATAAGAGGTTCTAGGGTTTCTTTAGCCCCACTATTCATTAGATTCTTGTCACGTAGCCATTCTTCCAGCTGACTGACATTGTACCTATGCCAACAGAAAAAAAATAAAAGAAAAAAATGCAAATTTACTGAATGTTTTCACAAATGCCTTCTTTTTTGCATGAGACTTTGTCAGCAATTTCAATTAAAATGACAGGTAGCATTTTTGTTCAATTTTCTTAAATTTTAGTTGTGCTTAAATTTTTTCAGTAGTCATGAGGTTCATATCATAATTATGTAAGAGCAGATGACTGCAAATATAATTCTCTTTAATGGAATACAGAAGTGTAGCCATTATAGCAGAAGTTGCTAAAAAATAAAACGAAACACATTATCTGGCTCTGTCCTTACTGAATTCTAAAAAACTCTGAAAATTACTTTTTAGCTTCTCTTACAACTTCTAAAGTAAGTACTTATAATCCTTTAGGTTCTCCCTCTCCCTCAAGTTAATGAACTGAATAACAAAATCCTCTAATATTGACTTTGTGTTTCAGGCTCTTTAGGAGCAACCTGGATGATGGGGGTGGGGACAGTGGCCCCAGAAAGCTCAAGTATGGGAGGGGAAATGGGCAAGTGAGGGCAATGAGAAGGTAAAGACCCGAAATTTGGAGCCAGACAGCACAAAGGCTGAGGCTTCAAGAGGTAAACAATCAGGTGACAGTGGCTCTCCAACTAAAATAGGGTAAATAGTATATATAATCAGAATTTAAAGATAAGTCAAGTCAGAGGCAATATGATATTATGACAGGCGCTTCACCTGAAATAAATTCTACTATCTAGTGGAAAGTACTACCTTAATGTTAACCTCAACAGTTGTGGGTCAGAGTGGACAACTCGAAAGGAATTTGAGGTTTTCTGAGAGTGAGTAACCAAAGACTTCTGTAAGAGAAAACTCTTCTCTCGGTGAATAATCAGGCTGTTTTAAAATAAATTATTTGCAAAGAAATTCAATTCTATTATGATAATGAAGTTATGCTGAAGAGAAGTTGGGTATAAAATTGTATGCAGCTTTTCTTGAAATATAAAAGGGCATATTTTCAAGTTAAATAAAGGATCTCTTAGACATGCTTTTGTTGCCATAGGTACAAAAAGGTATTTTATCAAAATAAAATTTTAACCGTCAAACATTACAGATCTTTTCCTTATTGTTTTTTTGTTATTGTACAATTAATTAAAATGCACACAAAAGGAGAGGAAGCAGCTATGCCATCTTTATGTGTTTTTCTTCATCTCTCCCTCAATGAGGTGGCTTCACAGAACAGGGTTCCCAACAGCTAGGAAGCATGACCAGGATCTGCACAGAAGGGGAGAAGGATGGCAGACAAGAACGCGCTTGAAAGCTGGAGGCAGCTTCAAACGAGCTGTGAGCTCTCTGCACCTTGGCAGGCCTGCTGTGCAATGAGGAGAGACCAAGACCAGGGTTGACTTTTGCTCACCGAATCTGCATGCCTTTACTCCAGGAGCACATGTCTTTCCGCAGCAGGAGGTTGTTCAGGGTGATGGCGCCCACAATGTAGAACATCTGCTTGACCACCTGTTTGATAAGTTCAGGATCCATGCCATGCTGGCACATGACTGAGTGGAAGGAGTTGAGCTGCCGGAGGATGGAGTCCAGTGTGTAGGTGCCCTCGTCAGCAATGCTGGAGGTGCGCTTTCTTAGCCCTGTTGGCTTCACTCCTGATACACCCTGAATGGTTTCGTGCTCCAGCATGCCAGAGACTGCAAGAGTAGTTCAAGTGTTAGAAGAGAAGATGTGGAAGGAATCCTATTTCATGTGCACCTGCAGACACGTGCACACACGCACACACACACACAAGCTCTTCTTCTCCCTTTAGAAAAATGATCTGAACATTGTAATAGAGTGAAAAATAACGTCACACATACAAAAGACTTCTGGATTTTAAATTTTTATGAAGGGATAATTTTTAAATGCAAAAATTTATTATGAAATTAAGAAATCTGAATGGTATATTTTCTAAAATATGAAGCAGTGGCCTTGTAATAAGAAGGTTTCTAAGAGAAAGGTAGCCGTTATAGGGGAGAGAAACAATCTCCAAGGATGGCTGAGCCCCAGGGGCAAACAACTCAAGAAGCAAGAAAGGCAGACATAGGCAGTGATCCTGGAAAAGACTTGGGTACCCGGCTCTGTGGGGGCTGGAGAGCTGGGCCTGCTCTGCCCTGACATTCCCCCAACAGCAGGGTGAAGGAGGGGCTAGCCTGGACCTGGACTCAGTCTCCTCTGAGGCACATTAGCTCCCTCTACTGAACTCTTGCGGTATCTGACCTGTGCATGGATTTGGGACGCCTGCTTCCTGAACTGGGAGCCCCTGCAGAGCCATACCTGATTTGCTTTTACATCTACTAGTGCTACATGCAGCTCCCACAGAATGCCATACTGAAGTAATGCTAAACTGCTAAGAGATGAGGACAGTGGTTTATCATGGGACAGCCTACTGATGAACTTGTTTAACCAATAAAAACTGGCAGAACAGAAGAAAAATGTCAGCTGACATTCTTTGAATCTGTTTACATTTTCTCTAACCTAAGTCGCTTTTAATTCATGACCTCCTTTTATGTTTCTATTTGGTTACTGTGGGCCTCAAAAGAAACTGGAATACTATGAGCACAAAAAAGGGAAAAGAAGTTGTGGAAGACACATGGATAAGGAAAGAAAGGATAGCTAGGAATAGTCTCAAGAAGCTGCTCATAATTGCCTGATGATAATAGTTTGGTAACTAATATTTTTAATTCGATGCCTTCAAAATTAGCTGTTCAGCAATGTATAGTCAATTCCTAATTCCTAGTAGGCACACATGATATTTATTGCACTCATGATAAATATTCCAAAGGGAAAAAATTGCACAGTATGTAAACACCCAGAAAAAATGTACACACATTTAGAAACACACATGTACATCCAAAAGACACTGCTACTTTTAAACCAATTTGCTTTTAACAATTCCATTGGGGCCAAGAGATGTACAACTTAGCGTGTCTTAGAGTGTCTGAGACCTGTTCCTATTGCCATGGTACCGCCCAGCCTCTCTACTCTAGCCCTTCAGGCAAAGTGTAATCCATCCCAGCCTCCTTAGTTTCAGATGGGTACCTAGGAAGCCCAGGGTAGTCATGTTCTAGACTGAAATTTAAAACATTTGTGAACACTGGACCAGTAAGAGTTCTATTGCTGGGCACAAAGAATAACCCAATGTATGACAGAGGCTACACATTCTGGATAGAAAACTAGATACTGCCATTTGATCACGTGAGAACAATGATTTTGATGTGTCCCAGTTGGTTAAGGCTAACACCCCATGTTCTCGGATGACTCCATTAATTTTAGGACTGTCTTACTTTGTTTCCTGGATAAATACATTCCCCCAAACATGTGCCATTCAAAGCCCTCCACTGGCAAGCATGTGGCAGAGACCTAAACGCTAGCAATCACAGGCTTACCTATCATAGGCTGAAGGATGTTCTCCAACACCCGCACCAGCTGCTGGTAGATCTGAATGGCTAAGTCACTCAGCACCTGCCGGTACTCAGCCAGGTCGAAATTGGTGAGGCAGTGTTCATTTTGGCGAGATGTGTTGTGTTTCATGAAGCCCTAGAACAGTAACACAAAGGTTAACGATACAACTGAAATAAAATGACTCTTCTATTTTAATCCACATCTTCATACTTTTTCCCTCCGTAAAGAACCATCCCACAGATAAACTCAAGTATAATCATTGTCAAATACTGTATGTTTGCTTCCATCAAATTCCCCTTTCACTTCTTGCTAGCTTTTGAATAGTGCCTAAACTTGGCAACCTAGTGGTTAGGTCATTCAAATAGCAACATCATGAAACAAGATGGAGAAACAATCTGAAAAAAAAAAAAAAAATCAACGTTCTCTTTTGGGGCAAAAGGTTTACTACCAGACATTAAACTACCTAAACTACAAACTTCTTAACTTTAGTTCTTTAAAAGCCTTACTTATAACTACAGTAGGTCCTGAATAGCCTTGTTTCATTCAATGTCATTTCTATAACATGGGTGAGAAAAAATATTTCTGGACACTGTTAAGTGAAATAGTTATTTGAGAATCTACTTTTAATAACTATCATTGTACTTCAAGTTGATTTCCAATTCAGCAATGCCTTTAAGTGGGGACTTATTATGTACTACATCTGGAGGGTATACTAACCTTAAAATAGACTAATTTCTATAGATAGGTGAATAAATAAAGAATTTTTCCTTTACTACATTTCATGTTATCTATTGATATATGATTTTCAGTCTTAGATCTTTTGGTATGCTTATTAAAATGGAAACCAGGCCCTCCCTGGTGGCGCAGCGGGTTAAAGCACTGCACTAAGAAGCTGAGACCACTTCCGCATGAGTTCGATTCCCGCCTGCCCCGGAGGTGACCACATGGCGAGGCAGACCTCTCCTGACCCGCCCGCTGCTCCCCTCAGCAGTGTACTTCGTTGATCTGCCTGTTCTGCATCCCGCTCTGTCTCTGGCGAAGTCTTTCGTCACCCCTGAGTCTCTGGCCTGTACCCCAGTTCTGTATGCACAAAAATAAATAAATCTTTAAAAAAAAAAAAAAATGGAAACCAATCTGCAGGTAGGTACTCCTGTTGGATAATACCTGACACAAGTAACTGCCTACTTGATGGGTCTACCCACAATCAAGCATCTGCCTCCCTACAATCTACTTAACAACCTGCTCTAGAAGTGGGGACTGACAGGACAGTTAATGGCCCTTTTAGGGGGATTGTGTCCTATCAGAGAACCTGTCTTGCTCACATTTGGTTTTCCCTTCATTTGCTAGGCTAGTGGTCTGCCCACAAAGTACCACTGCTCAGTGTCTTTGCCGCTCCTCTCAACAAAAGATGGGGAGGCTGGAAGGCTGTGGTTAGGGACACAGGCTCTTAGAGCGGTGCTGACCCAGAATTCAAGCTCTGCTTATGACTGAGAGGATATGGAGAAACACTGAGTTTCAGTTTTCTCATCTGTAAAACTGGGTTGTAAGTTCTACCTCAGAGAAACAGATGTAAAAATCAAATAGCATGCCTAGTAAGTGTACCTGATACATACTCAGCAAAGCTTAATAACCAGCAATTATTAAAATATTACACAGTCTATTAAACAACAAATAATACATCACTACAAAGAAAATGAGATTTTTTGTACAACTCCAAAGAGACATAGTTTATCTTAATTATCCTGCTGTATTATAGCAACTAAAGCCTACTTCCACATATTGATAAAAAGTCTGATGATTGGTCATGATTCATTGAATACACATTTTATTTTTGCTGTGCCTTCTCATAGTTAACTCTCAAAGGGGAGAAACTATGCCACTTCTCCATTCACTACTTTGTAAAGAATGAACTTCAAATAAAGCGAAGAACTTCCTAACCACCTCTGAATCAAGGGCTTTAAGTTAATAGGTAGCTAAACACTTTGTGCTTTTAAAAATTTCCTTAAAAAGGTCAGAGAAAGTATAGCATGCTGGTTTTGCAATCAAGATTTTCTCACCTCTTCTCCACTGTACTGCTTCAAACAGTGTAAAAATCGGCATGTGTTAGAGAGCCAGAAGGAGACCGTCTCAAAATCATCACCTCTTTTCTGAAAGAAAATAAACCCAAATTAGCTTTGCCTTAGGGAAATATTAACCTGAAAGGAACTGAGCAGACACCAGGAGGCCCATTTCTTTCAGTTGCCATTATAAACAAGTATAAAAATAAATCACATTGCAGTTGTAAAGTCTTACACAACTGCTAGGGAATTTTAAGATCTGGGTTCATTGCTTGGTTGTTACTTGGCTTGACCTCCATTTTTTTGCCATTAAAAGATGATGTGCCCAATCATTCAGTTGATGTTAGTTTAGCAATCCCTTCAAGCAGCAAAGAAATCCATCAAACAGATTACTAAACTCACTTCCCTTTAGTTTACTGAAAGGAATAAAAAGGATTAAAAGCATAGGAGGGAATCACAAATATTGCAAAGCAGATTAAGTTAGAAATATTGTCAAGAAAAGACAATTTCTGAGCACAGAATAAGAAATGAGGTGACGTCCTTGCAGAGCAGTGCAAGCGTGAGTCACTTACACTTATGTTTTAAGGAATGTGTCATTAAGTCCTTATGCAAACAACACACAGTGTAATTTCATACACCCAGATAGTACAGCTACTATACACCTAGGCTCTATAGTGTAGTCTGCTTGGGACCACTGTCACATATGCAGTGTATTTTTGACCAAAAAGGTTAAGTGACAGGAAAATTTGTCTGGCTCTTCATTAGGTTGAGGCATGTCAAACAATTGTTGCTTTATCAATACAAGGAGGCAACACAAATACACTTCAATTCAAAACAGGAACATGAGATTGGTGCATTTAATTTTTAAATGGTACTAAAGGGGTGTCATATTTTTCTACTACACACTTCTTTTTAATTTTTAGACAATCTGGTATAGTAATTAGTCAACCTGAATCAGTGTTGTGTTGTAGTTCAGATAAGAGAAAGAAAACTGATTTAGTTTTGTTGTCTTTATAGGTGGTAAGCAGTAGTAAGACATGTCTATTTACTTGCAGTATAACAGGTAAATGGGATATTCATCAATTTTAAAATACAAAATCTTCAGAAAACTCCACACTTTAGTAACCTCTGTAGAAGGACTCTATATAGATCATCTACTGTACAACAGGCACTGAGAACCAGCATTTGTTAAAAGCTTGTGACTACAGGCTGGATGGAAGGTGTGTCTAATATACAGAGTCAGTCTGGGAAGGTGAAAAAGCTCTGGAGATGAATGGTGCTGATGACTGCACAAAAATGGTGACTGAAAAAAAAAACGGTTAAATAACAAATTTAATGGTATGTATCTATTTATATAGAGAGAACCACAATTAAAACAAATAGTTTGGAAAAGACATCTAGATTGAAAGAGTCCTCTAGGCATGCTAACTATCCACTTATCTGTATCCTAAAAGTTCTCATTAAGCTAGACAATAAGAAAGCAAACTAGTGGAGCATATTTTCTCAGTTCCTCATAGAAGCACTTGAGTTAAAATTAAGTATAATGTTCTTTTTTCCCAGAGAGTTAAGAGGAGGATTATGCAATGCGACTCAGTGATGACTGAATTATGTAGGGCTTTTTGCTCTATTATATAATATTGTTACTTTTCCCAAATTTTTTCTCTAAGCCTACTAGCTGTGTTGCTTCTCACAAGTCATCAGGTATTTCAGGTAACAAGAAAATAATCGGAAGAAAAGTTGGAAAAAATTTCAATGTTTTAACAGACTTCTTTCTTTTTGTATGAATGAGCCACATTACTGGCTTTATTTGATATTTATTTTAATGATAGCATCACATTTCCTATATAAATAGGCTCTCCTAAATACGTTAGATTATTTCTAAGACCTCAAAGCAGACTATTTCTGTCTAGGGGGTAACTGAACTTACTTCACAATTAAGTACAATTTCATAAAATTAATTTTTATTACTATTCAACCTGAGTCCTGTTTTGAAAGAAGTCACAAATTGCAGAGCGGAACTGGTGGCTTAGCTCAAGGAAGGAAGGAAAAGCACCTGTGTAGACAGATTATATCATCAGTAATATTCATTATGAGAATATGAACTGACCTTTAATACTTTTTTGATGCTGTTAATTGTTGATGTTAGCAATGACCTTACTTTCTGGTCATCATTCAGGTAGTCGGCATGTCGAACACACATGAACAGAATATATGCTGGTAACCCTGGAATCAAATTGACAGCTACTCCACGTGGTTTCAGTTCTAAAAAAAGACAGGAGGAAAAATAATCTTATATAACACTAAAAGTCTTCTTGAGGAATGCTTTGTGAAATATAAAAACACAGTTCTGATGTGAAGGTTTAATCATTCAGGGTAAATGAGTGATTTTTTATATAAAAAAGGTAGAAGAGCTCAGTAAGTGAAAAATTCTTGAATAGGAACAAATGAATCTCTGCAGTCTATTGATAACTCCCAAGTATCTTTTTCTAGTCTTAACTCCTTCTAACCTGTGCATCAACTGCTTTCCTGATATTTTGCTCAGGTATATCAAACTGGACATATTCCAAACTAAGCTCTTGATTCCCTCTGGAAACGGCTCTTCCAGGAATTGTCCCTATCTCAGTAAATAGCAGTTTCAGTCTTCTGGTTTCTCAGATTATAATCATTGGCATCATCTTTGACTTCTTTTTCTCATTATACAAATTAATCTACCAACAAATTCAAATGGCTCTACCTACAAACTATATTCAGAATCCAACTAACTCACTTCCACTACTATCTACCCCATTCTAGGCCAGCATCCCCTTTCTCTTGGAAATAGTGAGTTTCCAAACTGATCTCCTTGATTCATTCCTTGTTCCCCAGTAGGAGATTTTCACCAACATCAGAGTAATCTGCATCTGAGTTTGTCCCTCTTGTTTTGAAACTCTTCCAAGTAGCTTCTCCTCTTTCATTTATAAATCCTGAAATCCTCACCTGGCTTGTGCCATCTGTTCCTGCTTTTCTCCAGCTTACTGCAATACAGTCAAATAGGTCGCCTCACTATTGGTTGAACATGCTAGGTATGCTTCCACCCCAGAGCCTAGGTACTTCATGTTTTCTCCTGAGAATATTATTTTCCCAGATATTAGTATGACTAGTTTCCTCACTGCTTCTGGCCTATTCCAAGGATCACCTTATCAAAGAGGAGTTTTCTGAAAGCTTTATATAAAGTATATAAAATTCACTATATAAAGCCTTCACTCTTTATCCTTTTAATCACATTATATACTTATTTTATCCTTCTACCCTAATGCTGAATAGGGGGTTCTGTGAGAAAAGGGACTTCATTTTGCCCAGTACTCATTACCTGGACAATGCTTAACACATGGTAGGCGCTCACTCAGTGCTCACTAAGTTGATTATTAATATTAACTCTGTGCATAAAAACCAGTGGCTCCTTAATATTTTTGCTGATGAAGATTACCTTGAAACATAAGTGCCTCTGCAGCTTAACTACATAGGGTAGCTAAATTTAATGCCATCAACCCTAAGGACATTAAAACACATGTAACTGCCCATCACACTGCTACCACCTGAGGGGAGGGAAACTATGCAAAGGCTGAAATGGAGAGGTTCTTAGCTTTTCCACATCATAAATTATGGACTATCTAGATTCTCCTTATCATTTTCTACCTTCCTGAAAATTCTTGCAGAACAAGCAGCAAATAGCCAGTCTTAAGGGCCCTTAGGCTGCTGTCTTGTGTTTTCTTTCCGTTATGGGAATCTTTTCCTTAAAGATTTTGTTCCTTCCATATTGCTGTTCTTAACCTACTTGTCACATATCTCTCTGGGGAAGCAAGGGGAAAAAGAAATTCAGGAACATACATGGCCTTAATGGAACTTAAATAGTACAGCAGTAGCTATATTTCAGTTGTCCTTGAAGGGCTAAAAGATATATATCAGACACAATCAGGTCCCCCTTCTCTCCACCACGAAGTCCATTTGGTTTAAGTGGTCAGCATTACTTTTCAATAACTCCCCTGGATACTCTATGTGCAGCCAGGGCTGACAATGTCTGGCTACAGGGTGCTTCTGGGTGAATATAGGGCAAGTGTCCCTGTATTCTGACAGATATTGCACTATAATGCTCAGTATGCAACAGTGATTGAAGAATCTGATATTGAATATTTCAAAAATTAGTGACCAGTCTTTCCCACCACCTACACATGTACCAGAAAGAAATTTTATGTCATGCAGAAAATACTTGCCCAGAATCAGGTTCTTAACAAGTTTTTGCTCATCCTCCTTCTTGTATTCCAGCATTCCTTGGAAATCTTTTTCTTTCCTGGGAATATTGACTGGACGGATGGGCTCATCAATGATCTGTCCTGGAGATATATTCTCCATCTGGCCAACTTAATGAGAAACATAAAAGGGAAGAAAATGTGGTTCATGTAGAAAAGATGAGAGGAATTCCATGTTCCTATAATTTTAAGTGACCTTTATAGCAACAGAAACTCGCCATATCTGTCCTTAATTGTCTCCTTTTTTCCTACTAAAATTGGGTGGATAGATGGCAAAATTATATAGTAATGTCATTCTGACTACTGGTTATTATCAACACCAAAACCAAAGAATTGTACTTGATTCAAAACCTTTCAGATTTTTTTTTTTTGAAAAATGCTTAGTTTGTAGTAATATTAACCATCCCCAAAGTGGCTTGGCTTCCTGGTTTTTACTAATTGGTACCAATCATAAAAAGATATTTAGACTTTAATTCACTCAGAAGCAACAAAGATTGCCTTCATCTCTAGCTCTGTAAATCTATACAGTCATTAAAGAAAACGAACATTTACTTTAAGCGTACCATTGCAAAAAGTTCAGACCATTTCTACATAATTGGTAAAATCAGGTTTCTTACATGAGTCACCCCTCACTACCAAATAAATCATGAAAAGATAAAAGCAACTTCTAGTAGAATATCCTAAGTATTTTAAATTCAGTTTTTAGTAAAGTCCTGAAAGTTTAACTATGAAGTTGCTACTATTATGGTAAAACCACTGGTTAACAACCCTTTTGGATGTTAAAAATGGTCACAATTGCTAATGATAGGTACTAGAGAAGAATGATGTGATAGGGGTTTAAAAGGTCTCCAAACTTGAGAATTGAACAGGGAAAGCAAAGGAAGTAAGGGAACACATAAGTTATGATGGTGCTTGTGAAAATATACGCTAGTAAGCATGATTTTTTAAATCCTGTTATTTACAGGAAAGGGAGACAGTTAAGAAATTTATTTAGGCACACATTAAGGTTGAGTTTAGAGACTGTCGTCAAACAAACAAAATGCAGATCAGATTCATTAGGCAAGTTTAATGTTGCTGTCTCAACAAGGCATCAGTAGTGCTTCTCCTGTCGCTCTGGAAAATTTCTTGGGTTAGTTCTGGAAAGCCAGCTCCACCGTCGAGGTTAACACAGGGAACACAGATACCTGCCAGTGCTCCTGCTGATGTGGCATGGAGCCTGGTGACACCCGTCCACCTCAGTCCACCTCATGCAGCAGCATCACATCGGCCGCAACTCTCAAGGCTGAACATCACCACCATCCATCAATGCTAAGGTGTCTAAAGAGCGATCACAGCGCTATTGGACACGTCAAGGTGTGGCTGCTGCCCGTAATCTAGTGTTTCATGTGTATGATCAGTCTGGAAACTGCAGGACTAATTGTAAACTGTATGACTATCAGTGATTCAAACTATGTAGTTTTATATAAATCATCTCTGGGGTCAGTTTAAACACAACACAGCAAGGATCTTGCAATCAGCACACAATGGCCTTCATAGCTCATGTACAGGTTGCAAGTAAAATACATAGTAACATCCTCATCACCTATGTAACTAGTTTCTGGAAGCAGCAGCAACATTCTAGGAGGAGAAACTGGAAGGACAAGGGTTTAACATGTTTAATTCATCAATAAACACACAGATCTAGTCTCCATTTAATTCGAAGAGAATGTTTCAAATGCACTCATTCCATAGTATCTAAGGTGCTTCTGATTATTAGATGATACTAAAGAAGGAAAAACACTGCCAATTAAACTACAACCCATAAACAATTATAAAAGACATATCCTAATTTCAGGAAAATAAGTACCTTGGAATTTATGAAATATAGTGCAATATTCTTACTAAGGGATTTCATGTTTAAAAGAAAACTTCACTTTTCTCTGTGAAAATATCTAACCAAGATATTTTTGGTTGTGCACAAAAGTGTCAGAGACAAGTTCTGCCACTCTCATTAAAATTTTTTCTCGGACCCTCCCTGGTGGCGCAGCAGGTTAAAGCACAGCACTAAGACGCTAAAGCCACTTCAGCATGAGTTCGATCCCCGCCCGGGAGGTGACCACATGG